ACCCTTTAATCCAGCTGTTGATTAAATTCACATCTTGGAAGGCTGTTAATATCCAGCTGGGTACTGTGGTCGTGCTTGCCAAAGTCATGTTAAGGGCAGAAAGGARAGTGGTTTCCTGTACAATCTCCACTTTAATAATATTCCCACCCTAAAGCTCCCACTCCTTCTGAAATTTTACTCTTCCAGTTACAGAATCTTTCTTCATGGACGCCAAATCAACGCCCAATTAGTTCAGCTGCAAAAAGACATCAATGTTGCTTTGTTTTTGAAAGCAAACACAGCAAAGGTCTTCAGTGGCCATGGTAGGAGTTGATAGCATTCCTTATATAGTAATTGTGGCGGAGCGCAGTTTTATTGCATTCAGATGTAAATGTGTAGTGGGCAAATGGCCAAGCTCTACAAGGGCTGTGCCAAGGAGTGGGGAGGCCACTGCGACGAGGCTGCGTGGTTGCCAAGCTATGGAGTGTCCCTGGCCCTTGCCCAAGGAGCCAACCATTCCCGAGTCATATCCCCCTGATGAATCATATGTCGTCTCTCTCCTTTGTTAAATTATATTTCTTTGGATCATGCCATACATGCCAAATGGTATTACTGAAATAAATGACTAATCAGAATTAATTTGGTATTTCTGGTAAAAAATACTACTTGCATACACTCTCAGAAGAGTGTTCTGTGCATTTTTTTAACCATTATTCGAAATAGTGACCTTGTTCAGAGCTCTAGAGAAAATTGATAGCTAAGAAGTTTCRTGTTTGTCAATTGTGGCCGTTTTGTCAAACTGAGGCATTTACCAATTTTTTATTCTTGGGAGTGCTCCTGACTTCCGTATAATCATTTAGTGTGCAGCTACTTTACTTTTGAAAAGAARTAAGTGTATGGCCCATAGACTTCAGGTTGGTCAGTTCACGAGGATGGAAAAGGACAATCTTTATTCCCCACTGGCATATTATAAATAAAATTTGCCAGTCTTAAAATTTTCACCTCAGGCTAAAATTTAGCACTTCACGTTCTGCTTTTGGTGTGGAGCAGTTCAAAGCATTTGCAGTGAAATGAAAACTTCAGGGAAATGACTTGTCAATATTTTTTTCCTATTTTGTTTTTTGTTGGTACTCCAAAAGTAATAGTACCTCATTGTAAAGTAATAGATGGGCATAATGTGCCATATTGAGTCATAGCTTAGCAGTACATGTAATGTTGCCCTGACAATTCCAATAATGTAATCTAATAATAATAGTAAGAAATCTGTATAAGAAGAAGAAATAATAATAAGAAATCTAGCAGTTAGCAATAGGCATATATTAATCCTAGATGTTGAAATGAATTATCTTGCAAGCACAATGAGGCGTTMGTTTTTCGTATTTAAAATGTAAAGCAGATGAGGGGATAAATGTATTTATCCTTTTGCATTGAAATTTTTTCTCGGGATTAAGTGATTAAAAAAGATATATCAAGAGGGAAAAAAACCCTCAGTATTGTAAAAAAAAAAGTGTGTATTTGTGTGTACATTTTTATTATTCCCTGTAAAATCTTGTTGCAYATTTTTACAGCTTCTTGTGTTTGTTTATAATGTATGTATTTATAACATAATAATAATGAAAAATCCTTAGTTGAAAGAACCTGCTCAATCTTTCTAATTAGAAAAATGTTTGAGACTCTTTTTGGGAGTTAGGAAAGTTTGTTGTAATGGTATTCAATTCAAAAGTGGGATTACCAAATTAGAGAAACATGTGGTAATTGGAGAATCAGTTTCATTTTTCTGAAAATGATGCAAGTCTATGAATTTTGAAATGTGATGATAACTTTATGAACTCAGAGGAAGAATTTAGTAGGAAAGGAAAGGCTATTCCCATCAAGTGATTTACACTGTTGCTCTGTAGACAAAACTTGTCCTTTAGGCTCCAGCTTTATTGACTAAAGCTTTAAGATCCTCTAATAAAAATAAATAAATAACATGTTCAGACATTATTCATGAGTGCAGCAAGCTTCAGAAGGCTAACAAGGATAATGAGAGAACTGGAGGTGCCACCTAATACAWCTAAAGAGTTTGCTTGACTGGCCCAATATTTTAAAGGTGATGCAYTTGTAATACTACAGAAGATGACAAGACAGTCTGTTCTCGAGAGTAAAAAAGAGGAAGCTGAAGTATGATCATATGTGACCACACACTGCATGAAAAGCTCAGCTTTATATTATAAAATGACCATATAAAATCTAGCATAGTAAATTATACTGTTTCTGGTTAATAGATATCAAGCTTGTAATTAATACCAAAAAAAAAAAAAAAAATATTTCAGACACTTTTTAGTAACTCCACCAACTTAGGAGAAAAAGGAAAGAGGAAAAAGTAAAGAGATGGGCTAACTGTTACGATAAACTGTCTCCCTACAATCAGATGACTTCCCATGAAAGCTGAGGGAATGATGAGACTATGGGAGCATCTGTCACTGCTCTTCTGTGTCCCAGTGGAATGGAATGAAGACCTGCTGAAATTCTGTCTGAATGGCGGAATTTCAGAGGCAGTTGGAAGAAGATTCATCATCTCTCTGGAGTAACTGCTACCACTAGYGTAACCCTGGAGATAATCCGGTCTCTTTCCCTGTTGTGAATGGACAACATACATCCATGTGGCCTTACCTCATTATTTTCCTTGAATATTCCAGGTGTTCCTAAGATACTTCACTGTAGTTTTGTCTAACTTCGAAAACTAATTTTACCTTTTATTTTTTAGTATTTTAAAGAGTTCAAGAAATTCATAGCTCATCTGAGTCAGTAATTTATAAAATTAATTTATAAAATTAATAAAAAACAGAATTAATTTATAAATTTATAAAATTAATTGATTTTATAAATTAATTCTGATTTTTATCATCCCTCCCCTTTTCCTGGGTTGCCCTGATTTCAGGCTTCTATTGGTGTGTGTGTGTGTGTGTGTGTGTGTGTGTGTGTGTGTGTATGGATGGATAGATAGATAGATAGATAGATAGATAGATAGATAGATAGATAGATAGATTTTTTTTTCCACATTCAAGGAGCAAAGAAACTCTCAGCTTCTGTTTCCACAGAAAACCTTCCTAGTTCTGGCTGTCCCACCAGGGAAATAAATATGATGTTGAGTTTGATTTATGTGATTTGTCAATATAATTAAAATAAATCTAATCAGATGGTTCCTTGGATATGTTTCGGAACTGTGGCCAACACAGGATATGACCAGCACAGCAAATGATCTCTGTGGCCCGAAAAATGAAATTCTAGTTTAAGTAATCCCGGGCTGCACCTGCCTTGTGATGGGAGGCCAGATTTCTCTTCCTGAGCTTCATGACTCTATATAGGCTGAAGACCAATAAGGCAGTGCTCCTTCTGGACAGCAGAACGAATGGGAGTGAAAGCAATGCCATGCCACTTCATCGGTGGAAAATACRATGTACTCACAAGTGGATCTGCTAGAGAGCATTAACACCCACACTGTGAGCTGCGTGGTTGCAGTGTCAGGCTTAATGGCTTGTTCGTTTGTTTTCTTCTTTTATTTAAGGATAATGTTGCTTAGGACTTGGTTTATTAAACTGCTTAGATGTGCGTCAGAGAGGCGCTCGGGAAGGTGGTGCACATGGTCCTTTCTGCAGGGTTGGGATGTGGTGGGACCCCTGTGGACCTTCACTAGGAGGGCTGCTTCTCAGGCTCAGCTTTGGCTATTGCAGAGGTGCAAATGCTGGTGTTGAGTATAGGCTGCTGTTGTGTTACCCAGGACAGCACTTAAGCTTCCTCAGAGATCAAAGGAGTACCAAGCCCTGACGCTGATACTAAGCTTTTGGCAACTTCTTGCTACTCAGCTTTTGCCACTCTTCTCCTCAGTGGCATTACATTAGAAGGCAAAAGCAAATTTTGAAGTATGAAAGATCCTTGAGAGTTTAGAGGGACTCTGGTTCTTTTTCAGGTAATCGAAGGACTTTTTTGTATGTTTTATTGATACTTTTCTGCTCCTTTTGCTTTAATTCAGAAGGCATTTTAGAAGTTCAGTATAACAGTAGATATATTTGTGGTCCCGGTAAGCAAAATATCCCTTAGAGAATAATTTCCATGATGTAGCATTCAAAGRCAACATATTAAATTTTGAAATGGCAGATAATATGGGCTTCAGGAAAAAATATTTTGAAATTTAAAATCTACCTTTATTTTACACTGGCAGCTCAGTGACAACTATTGCTAGCTTTAAGAGTGGTTAAAAGCAGGCTGTTCCGTTACCTGCAATGGGRTAATTCTGTAACGAAGCAGGCACAAGCAGTGGCAGGGTTTGGTCCTTCACAACCAGAGAGCTCCAGGTTCCTAGGAAACGCTGACATACTGTTTCACACAAATGACCACTCTTCTCCCCTCTAATCTCTTATTGCCGTCTGCTTTTCACGTTAGCTGTGAACGTAAACCGAGGGCAGGCACCTCAGCGGCAGGATGTTTCTAGCTGGGATTTTGTACATCTGCYTGTGCGAGGTGGATGTCCTAGTTAATGGTGCCGTAGCACGTTATTCCCGTGTCAGCTTATGAATYACGTAGGTTGTAACTAACTCACTAAAAAGCAAAATATACAAAATCAGTGCTGTGTCTTGCTTTTGCCAGTTTGAGGTCTGGATCGTGCAGTATGTCGCAGGTGTGTTTCCTTCGGGAAAAGACAGAGGCAGTAACCAGGGGGTTAAATCCCTGCTCAACAGGCGTGTTTTTGGATGTAMGTTTCCGTCACAGCGCAGATCCAGGCTCGGCACCTCCCGGCCGAGGGGAGCTGTGTGTGACGGAACCCGCGCACTGTGGCCCGTGACAGACCCCCGTGACGGCACCGGGCCCCTGTACCAGCCCGCGGGGCCCTGCGTTCTCCAGCTGTTCACCCTCGAGACAGCGAGCGGCCTCCCGGCGCCGAGGGATGGGAGCGTCTGCGTAAGAGGCTGCACGGATGGAGCATGCCCAGTGCTAGGGAGAGCCGCCACCCCGCCCCCAGCCCGGCGAGCAGGAGATGGAATGAACTTTGCACCCGCAAATGTCACCCAATATATTCCGCACAGCATCTTAAAAGGTTCTCCTGTAAGCACTATTTTTAACAGCCAAGCCCGCCCCCCAAAACAAAATGGAAAAAGCACTAGGTGTTTTTTGTCACCGATCTCAGTTTGTTATCAATTGAAGCATCTCTCACAACATTCACCTGAAGTCTGGCTTATTTTACCCTTTTATTATTCGATTTTTTTTTTCTTGCTGCTGATATATGGCTTTTTTTTTTTTTTCCTGGTCTTTTTTACTGGCATAAGAAAAACTGAGAATTTAATTGCACGAGACTACTTGGAAACAGAGAGGCTGAAAGCTTGCAAGGCAGAGGGACAAGAAGGGAAGGCTCTGGCGGCAGAGCATGGATAGGGAAGGAGCGGTGCTGCCGCGGTGCTCCGGGTGCACATGTTCCAGGAGATCAGTGCCGGGCGCTGCAGCTGCGGACACTAACTGAGCTGTCTGGCTAATGAAGGCCACCTGGATCAGGCTTCTGAAAAGAGCCAAAGGAGGACGTCTGAAGAATTCTGATATCTGTGTAAGCTTGTTTTCATTATTGGCATATGTTATATACGTTGCTGAGAGCGGGAGAGAGAACTACAGCAAGGAGAGGACAGTTGTTTTCATTCTGATTGAATTAGCAGAAGTCTGTTTTGTATGCAGGGAGATGCAGGGAAAAATCGGAGCTGTCATTATTTATAGAGCCCTTCTGGCATTGTGACTAGTTGCATTGTGGCGATACGTGGCCGGGTGCTGAGGCCAGGCGGATTTTATTAGTTGGGACTTGATTTGTGGTCGTTTGCATGTTTTGCTGAGGGGCAGAGATGGATACGAGCCATTTTCAGTTGTGATGGGGAAAGTATGTCAGGTAACGAGGTTGCCCTAAAATAAAAAGGGATAGCACAGCTTAAAGCTTTTGGCAGTGATGTTGTGTCAGGGTAATTACTGATAACAAATTTTCGTTTTTGTAATAAAATCTGTTTCCTCTCTAATTCAGTTACTGTTTAGAGTTTTAATTTTGATGGAGCCCTCCTTGAAGCTGCTGTGTGTCCTTCAGCCCTGCACTGCACCACTGCTGTAACTCCACAGAGTAGCTGGCTCTGCTTACTAAAAAGCATACAAATATAGGAGCATGGGAATAGTGCAGGAAATAAAGCACTGGGTAAGACACCTGCACTTCTGGAAAGTCTCCAGAGAATAACATTTACTCTTTTTAGCTATTTAATTTTTTCTAAGTGATTTTCTCTTTTGTGCAATTATTCTCTCTTCAGGGATGCAGAAGTAAGASAAAARACAAGGTGCATAAATGCTGTACTCCCTTTTTCTTCCTCTTTTCTTGTTTCTCCTGAACAACCTGTGACATTATTTTTCCTTTCCCCGTTCAGGGTTCGGCGGACTCCTACACCAGCCGTCCATCCGATTCAGATGTATCTCTGGAAGAAGACAGGGAAGCAGTGCGGAGAGAGGCAGAGCGACAGGCCCAGGCACAGCTGGAAAAAGCAAAGGTAAGGTGTTCTCTCACATCAGAGATTCATAAACTGTTTTAATTTGAAGGATTGCTATTTCATCAGTTTCCAGTGCAAACAATTTTTTTATGTGCTAACATGTTGCATGAGACCTCTTCTTAAGATGTTTCAGACAACAATGGAACTGATATTTTAAAGAAAGATAAAAACAGTTAAAGCTACGTTTTTCTGTTAAGGGCACTAGCTTTGCTTGCATGTTTCAGAATAATCTTATTTAAATGTAGAGTTTTTTTGATGTATTAAATAAACATATATTTGCAGTATATAGGGTCAAAGGTTTAAATTCTTACTAAACATATTATTAGAAATTTCTCTAAGCATGATTTTAGATGCCTGTGATGCTTATAATTTGCAGTTTTAGAAATTAGTTCTGAAACATTGTATATATCTACTGTCAGTGAAGGACTGGTCCCTACCAGTTGTGTATGTATAAATACAGAGAATCTGTGTGTATACATATATATATATATTTATTTTTTTTCCTGAAGACTTCACTGGCTTTGCAGTTTATATGTTAAACCCTGAGTAATGTGGTCTTGGACTTATTAAGGTTTCTCCTTCTAGCTTCAGATACCTGGCAGAGAGTGATGGRTTTAAATAGACATGCTAAATGAGCTTGGCTGGGTGTATATATTTTTTCCTTTAGATGCGTTTGTGACTGTGAGGCATTTAGCAGCAATAGAGCCCAAGCGTATGTGCTTAATTTTCTTTAAATACTCTTGTACCTGTAAAAAACAAACAAAAAATCTCAGTGTGATTATCTTAATTTTTTTTTTTCATTTGTTTGTCACTTCATTCCACTTCTTTTTCTGTGTGCTGTCTATGGCCAGATCTTGGTGTAGCTCTTTTGTGTGGTCTGTTTTTCCAGTTAAAATTTTCCCATTTCAGTATTGAGGAGCCTCCTCACATCTCCCCCTTTCTCCCTCCTGCTATGTCTGTTTCTCACGTTCTCTCCTATTCCCCTCCTCCATTTTGGCGTGTTCCTTGTTTCCCCATCCCTGGTCCATTCTGTTTCCTTTTCCGCTGCCAGCTTCGCCCCTGCCCMTTTATGCCGCCTGCGCTACAAGGGTTTCTCATAAATTCAGGCGTTCACATTATTGAGGTATTAACCTGATTACGRGGAAGGAGCCAGCTCAGTAAATAATACAGCAGTATAATACACAAACAGCTTCTTCAGGTTAGGATACTTAAACAGGGAAGCCAAAGATGTTTTGGGGAAAATGTAATAGTTAACAGATATTTTAGTAAGAGCTCCAAAAGAAGGTTTTTAATGAGGTGTGGAGCCTGCCAGCCATAAGAGATGCTGAACACTGCTTTGAAGTCTAGACCTGCTGTCTTGGGATCAGCATAGCTGCAACGCTGCAGCAGCCCATTTCTTCCCTCCACCTTGTATCTGATCACAGACAGGAGTTCCAGTTTTATCAGGGCTGCTTTTTGTCAGTTTAAGATTTCTCTGCTCTTAGGAGAGAGGATGAAGACTRCTCTGAAACTCAGGTAGAGTGTTGAATTTTCTCAGTTAAAATAAATGATCTTTTAAAGAAGTGAACTGATAATATCTTGTGGGCTAATAAGGGTAACACCGTAACACTTAAGTGCTGAACTGATGCATCTCTTAGTGATGGGTAAATCTATGCAAGTGTTGCTATGGGAATTTGGCTTACTGATGATGGCTTGAATGCATGGACAACCCTTATGTAATATTCATGACCTCTAGCACAGCTGCCATTGTAGTTTATGGAGAATTGCTAGCAAACCCTGACTTTTAAAAACTATATTTCTATACATCAAAGCAGTGTTCTCACTCCAGCTGGTGTAAGATCCAGTCTCTAGGTCTGACACTGTCTGAAACTGTTAAGACAACTTGTGAACAGTCGAAGTACTGAAAGCACTGCCAAAATCAACCTGTTAAAACAATGGGCAATTTCAGGCCTATAGAAAACACAAAATAAATTATTCAAATCATTTGGGCTTTAATACAGATTAAAGCTGGAACTACATAAACAGTCTTGTTTCTTGAGCCAAAGGAGTTAAAACCACTCCAGGTTGTAACATAAGGACCATTTTACACAGTGGCTAATATTTCAATTAATGGTATTCATTAAAACAYTGCACATATTCATTGCTTGCATTTTAGACAGGCAGCTTAAGAGACATAAATCTAACTCAGTATATCTGTAATGTGATAAGGCCTATTTTCCTGTCTTCATTGGTGGTTCCTCACCACCCAGGAACACTGGATGTAAAGGTGATGGAAGGGGAGCTTCCACGGGCAGTTTGGCCACGTGAGGCTCTCAGCAAGCGGTGGGTTTGTGGCTGCTCCCTGGGCCATGGGACGAGCTGTCAGCCAGGGCCCCGTGACGCAGCGGCCTTGACGGTTTTTCCTTTTAGTATTGTGAGTGGAAATATTGATGCTAAATAAAGTCATTATAATTCTGTTTGTCACAGGAATTAGCCAAGGATGACACATGCGAATAATGCAAAGGTTGAGGGGAAAATGATCATGAATTAAGAGATGGAGAGAATAAAATACTGTTGAACTGGATCATGCACTTAATGAAAACAGTTTAATGACATCCATTTTTCTTCCTTACACCTGCCTTATACCTTACAGTGTAGGGAAAAATACCGTAAACAGTACAGAAACATATATTAATATTTTAATGGCTAATGGTTAGCAGATTTGGATTTTAAGATGGACGTGTATGAATCTTGTGTGTCTGTACACCATGAAGCAGAATAGGAATGTCTGATAAYGTGCAGTATCAGATTAACATAGTAAGTCGTGATAAAACACTAGTGCCTGTCTGGGAAGAGTGTTAGGTTGCTTCTGCTGAGTCATGGGGCCATGGGCTCCGCTGCGACGTGCCGTGAGGAAGACAGGGCCAGAGGAGCAAAACCTGAGGTGTCCGGGGCCGAATCCAAGGGGCGGTGGTTGAGAGGTCCCGAGGGAAACAGCTTCCCAGGTGATGCTGTTGTAGCTGAAGCTGAGGTAAAATGATCTGGTCCAGAGGAGAAACAAGGCAGATGCAAGTAAGACAAAACAAAACAAAAAAACTTTAAGCCTGTCATGGCCAAACCCAGCTGGGGATGCTCACGTGCATCTCCAGTCCAGGTGAAAGAGGGCCTGCATAGTGGCTGAGCGAGGAAGCTCAGCCACTCCACTCCACTCCTCCACTGCGACCTCTGCTACACATCTTCTGTTTTTAGAATTAACTTTGTATTTCCGTAAAAGATAGGAAGCTTATGCACCCACCAGCCAGGAATAAATAAGGCTAATCACCTCTGCTTTGTATTGCTTTTAGTGTTCATATTTAGAATCTCTTATTTCTACCAAAAGACTTCTTAATTTTGAAGGACAGGCTTTCAAAATGAATTCTAGCAAAAAGTGATCTTTTGTCCAGACCTTTCTAGTATTTGATTAATTATCCCCTAAAACATTTTAGGAAATGAGAAGGATGAGGTATCAAGGAAACAAAGCAAAGCAAAACAAAGAAGAAATGTGAAGTATGGATATTAGGGAGACCTTACATTTCAATCTTAAATGAATTGAATTTTAAACTTAAGAAAAAAGTGAACTTTGGTAATGACTCTTGGCCTTCTCCAGAGCCAGTGAAATCAGTTCAAATACCTATCTTGTTACTTTATTTTCCTCAAAGGCATCAAATGTTCACACCGCAGGTCTTGACTGAAGTGCTGTTATTCACATTATATAAACTTCTTTCCTCTCCTCAATAAATAGCTTAATTTTTTAAATATTTTTGCTTCTCCTTCCCCCACCAACTCTAGAACTGCTTAGACAGAGACAGTTTCTGGAGATCTTTGGACTAGATCACAACACAGACAAAAGAAGTCTCTCCTATGTACAGTATTTAAGCAAAATTTCAGTTATTTCTAATGATAACAAGTACCAGTTAATAATCCAAATCTGTTTTTCAAAATCAAATCATGCCTTTTCAGAAGTCAACGTCTGTGTCCTTAAGTAGGTCCTCTTTGTTTGCCCGTAAGCCAGGACCCTACTGCTGACACACTTTTAAGAATTCTTAAAATCTGAAATACAGGTAGGCCTCTTAACCCTTCATTTTGATCATTTTTACACTGAGACTGTGAAGCAGYGCAGTTTGGTTGCCACGCATCCCTTTGCTTTCCATTAGGCAAAAATACAGCGCAAAATACGGACTCAAGTGGTGATGATGGCTCCTTCTGGCTGTAATAGAGCAGTGTCTGTTGTATTGCCTCCATGGGCAATACATGGGCAGGTTGGGACCACTGCTTTTAAATCTCTCCCAGGCCATGATGATGCCTCGCTCTCCCCACAAGGAGTGTCTGCTGGACACATGGCAAAGGTTGTCTGGTGGAATTATCCAGCTGTGTGTGCCAGGACTAGTTACCTGAGCATTTACCCACTCTCAGGCAGGTTTCACAGCCCCTGAATGATCCCATGGGTTAGCAGGCAGCACCAAGGTTGGTTAAGTCTGCCTAAGCCAAAGTAGCACTTTTTGACAGACTGTAAGTGCCCATCACCCCAATGTGTATCTTTATGTTGTGTTAGCGTGCTACATCATGGACACTCTTTTCCCTTCCCTCTTAATGTGAGGATTTGGGGATGCTGTACAGCACCCAAAGCCGTGGCTTGCTGGCTCTGTTGTCCAGCAGCCTYGCATTGCATTGCTCATCTGTTCTGGACCAGAATTATTAGATAGTACTTTATGTTGGCTGTTGTATATGAGAATGGTATTATCAGTGGTTTCTTTTCATTTGCTCCTTTTATTTSAAACTACTTCCACTGCATGCTAGCATTTTTGCATATTAGATATCCAGTGTTGCATATCGGAGTTGCTGGGATTATGTGGGAGCTGGCACAGTAGTCTAGCTGGAAATAAATGTGGTGTTGATCCAAAAATGTAGTTGCAAATCTGGTTGTTGCTTAGCTGGAGGCAAGTTCTGCATTGCTAGTTCATGACAAGTTTCTGGATCTGCTA